CCATAACATTATTTTCGTTGCTACTTCATAACTGTCATTTTGCTACTGTTATGAATCGTAATATAAATATCTGATGTGCAGGATGTATTTTCATTGTTACAAAGGGGTCGCGACCCACAGGTTGGGAACCACTGCCAAAAAGGCTGATAAAGTAACCTTTAACTTGATAAATTATATAACTTTGTATGTATCAGGGGAGGGGGTGTTCAATTCTGCTGTTACAGACTACACCAAAGTATCAGTACCATTTAAGATAGATATTTGAGTGATAATGAGTTACAGATTGCTAATAATCGGGGAAAGAAACCAATATATTATCTAGAGCACATCCTTAGTTTAAAGCCAAATGGACATACATTGATATAATTTCACCTTTCGATCTAAGGAAAGTTCCTGAACTTTTCTGAGCTACAGTCAACTTCATCTACAACTTAAACAAACCTGCCTTGCAGGGAAGTCAGTTGTAAACTTCAGAGGAGAAGGTGACGTGGGTAAAGTCCACAGGCAGGGCCAGCACGTGAGAGACTCTCTATCAATAAGATCATTTTAACGTAGCCACAGGAATTTCCTTTTTCTAAATGAAATTTCTGGTTTTCTTCTTTGAAAAGACCTTGCTCACTCAAGAGCTGACTGCCTTCAACTGCTTCTCATCACACTGTAAAACAAAAGTGATCAAAATGTTTACTTCTTTTTGGAATAAAAGTACAGCTCTCTCTAAACTGCGGGCGAGTTGTGCTCACCGTGTAAAAAAATGAAACGCTTGGTGAAAATGATGAATTCTGGGGCGCTGATTCATGTGACTTGAAAAACGCCATCCATTTCCTGATTCGCCTCAATTTCTGCCCAGAAATAGAAAGGATCTCTTAAGGCTCTTACTAACCAGTTTTGTCTTGTCTTTACTTCCCTTCCTAGTGCTTGAATTTCAGCGACTTGCCTAAACTGGCATCTCAGACCAGAGGATCAGGAGGTGACTGAGGAGGAAGTAACCCTGGAAGAGATCAGGATTTGGCTGTGGGTTATGCGTGACCTTCCGAGGAAATCTAGATTTCGGTGGTCCTTAAAATGTGATTGATTGTATTAAAATTATGAAAAACCTCAGTCTGGAAGTCTGAGCCTCTTGACATTTACATCTTACCTGGATTTTCCTACCAGTGACCCAGAGGACACATTATGGTCGTCATCTTCAAATATTCTTTTTATGCCTCTGTTTTCCTTACTTTAAATCCATGGCATTTAAGAACTGACAAAGTGCTAGTTCACCTAATGACTCCCATCATCTTTTTTCTTAACATGGCTAATCACTGGTGCAGAGGTCTGAGGTCTGGCTAAGATTGTCTAGTACAGCTTTTTCGTTCAAAATCCTCCCAGACTTTTAAAGTATTTGGAAGACCCAAGATCAAGATGATGTCTACAGGAGATGCTTCCCAAAGTCTTCACAGATGAAGAATCTCTAAGTGGAAAGATTTCAGGGATTATCAGCTCTTGAGCTTCACTATGACATCTTTGGGGTTATTTTACCCCAAGAAACACTCAGTGCTCTTTAGCGTGGCAGTCTACTTTCCTGGCAGAGTTAAGCAGACCAGTTTTATTTTTGAAAGAGCAGCCCAGAAACTTACAAAGGAAATAGTTATGGCATGGGAAAAAGAGTATACATGGGCATGGAAGGACCAGATCAATCCACCCTGCCTGCCAGTCAGGGCTCTGGAGACTCCATCAAGCATCCTTCTCTGCAGGCTCAGTTTCCACCAAGTGCGCCCCAGGTCCACCTCATGCTGCCATGTCTGGTCAGAGGTTGTATCTTGCCACTGCCAGCTGGTCCACAGAGGTTGACACAGAACAACCTAGCCCTCCCCACCCAGGTCAGCTCTACTCACCTTTGAGCTCTCTTGAATTCATTCCCAGAGGAAGATCCACATTTCCCCACTTCACAGTTATGCCAGTTAATGCCTGGTAGCCAGTAACTCAGAGATACAACACCCAGCGCGTGTATTCAACCAGATGTAACTGGGGGGGGCGGGGAGAAGGTGTTGTTTTCAACAGCTTTTTTTCTTAGAAGACTTTAGTGATTCTTCTGTCAGTAAAGGCCTTTCAATAAGACGCTGTATTTTACCTCAGCTAAAAATTCAGAAAAACCAAAATGTTCTACAAATCTGGAAGTGTTTTGCCTTGTCTTTTTGGTTAAATTTCTAAATGCATTTTCTAGCAACCCAATTTCCTTAACATAAAATGAGTGTGCTCAAAGCAGCCCAAGTTCTCTTTTATAAGTATGGTATGGGAAAGCGAAAAATGCTAAGCTTAAGAGATTTTTGGAATACCCGAAAGGAAATGCAGATGGTTTGTGGCAGAGATAAAGCCTCCCTGTGGTTTCCTGAATGTTATCTTCTGACATTGAGCTGTATATGTATCTTGAGTATCTATAAGAAAAGAATGGCTATACTTTTTTAAAAGATATGTTAAATACTTATTAATCAATGTCCTCTATACTCTTCTGCCTTGGAAAATGGAGCTTTGGAGGAAAATAAGTTCCTTCTGCAAACAAAAGTAATATTCACCCTGCTTAGATTTAGAAGCAAAAATCACTCTGCCTTGGTTTATTTCATCATTTACCTGGGAGATTAACCCATAATGACCTTGAGTTCTACGAAGTTTATCTACTGAGTGAAATTAAACCAATAGGCAAAATATTTGCTGAAGCAAATCAGTAAGAAAAAGAGCCCCACAGCTCTTGTAGGCGCTGCACCAGATCTCACTTCAGACCTCGTTTCCATTCCACTGAGGGACATAACTCACCATATTAGCATTTCTCACCCCAAATACCAACCTCCCCTTACTTGTCTCTCTGCCTCCCATGTCTTTTCCCAAACAGCATCACCCCTCCCCACTACATCATCCTTAATAACACAGACCTGGTTTATTTGAATTGCAAACTACCTGATTCTGTAATAAAATCTTTCTTGCAGCTAGATGAGGCCATGAAACTCAACTGTGACCAATAAGATGTAAATTGGGTGGGATGTCATGAAAGGCTATGTAAAAGAGGGCAGACAGCTCACTGGCTTGGTCTTCTTTGCCTTTTCTCCCATCTCAAGCTTAATTCTGGTGGCTGAAATTCCAGCCACTACCTGAAACCCTAAAGTAACCTTGAGAATATAAGCCATGAGCCTAGGATTGTGGTGCTAAAAAGTAGCCTAAATCCCTGGTGACTATTATAGAGTTCCCATCTCAGCCCTGGATTACCTAATCCCAGATCTCAGAAGACCAGAAAAAAAAAATAACTTCCCCTTTATCTGTTGCCTTATCTGTCATGGTTTCTGCTCTGTTTTTAGCAGGAGAATGTACTTCCTGACCAACTGGTATGAAGCTGCTCCCCCTCTGGCATTCCTGCAGGCTCACCCCTCAACGTCATGGCTCTGGCAGCCCACCTGCTCTTTCCCTCCCTCACTGAGTTCCCACTGGGCACCAACTTGATTGCACATCACCTGCCAGGCACATGGCCACACATGAAGGATAGAATGAAGTGCCACTCCAAGGCCATCCCCGCCTTTTCAAGAGTCTTTGGGGATGTAGGGATCAATTATGGATCCCACAGGAATGTAACTATTAGCCATGGTCAATGCTATGAAGGACGAATTAAAGAGGTGGGTGATTTAGTCTGGGTCATCAGGAGAGGCATCATTGTAGAAATGGCATTGGAGCTAACGTTTGAAGGATGAGTAGAGGCCAGAAAGAAAGTGGAAGAGACAAGAGGAGAGAGTGGGACATCAGATAAGAGCAGAAATACTGATCAGCTTTGGAATTTAAGCCAAATACACTTGTTAAATTATCAGGGATAGTAATAGTAATTGTAAAAGAATAGTAATAGGTGCTGTTTCAGCCCATTCTGGGATGCTATAACAAAATATCTTAAACTTGGTAATGTTACAGTTCTAGAGCCTGGAAAGTTCAAGACCAAGGTTCTGGCAGGTTCAGTGTTGACGAAGGCCTCGTCTCTGCATCCTCTGGGTGGGAGGAATGCTGTGGCTCCCATGGCTATAGAGATGTGAGGGGAAAACTCACCCCATCAAGCCTTTCAGTGAGGCACGAACTCCCTCCATGAGGGCTGCCTATTAACCTCCTATGGCCTACGTCAGAGTAGTGTGGCATTGAATAGTACATTTCTGTGGGAATTCAAATGTTCAAGTCATAGCAGATGTGATCTTCTCAAACAGCAGATAGTTTTCCACTAGTTGATGAAATAAGACAACTTGGTTGATCTAGTAGAAGCCTAGAAAGGCAAGGAAAAAAGAAATGAAAAGAAGATAATTATAGAAAAGGTGGAAATAATAGAAAGTTAACATAAAAAAATCCAATCGTGCCAGCAACTGGATATAATAACAAGATAGGAAAAAATATACTAGGCAAATAGCAATCAAAGTGAAGCTGGTTTATAAATACTAACAGCTGAAAAATAGATTGCAAAACAAAAATCTTTTTTAAGTGAAAATAATATCTAGCCAGGTGTGGTGGCTCATGCTATAACTCTAGCACCTCGGGAGGCACAGGTGGGAGGATTGCTTGAGGCCAAGAACACAAGACCAGCCTGAGTGGGAGCAAGATCTCTACAAAAAAAAAACAAAAAATGAGAGGGGTGGGTGGAAGAAGGAGGATGGGAGGGAAAGAAGGGAAGGAAGCAAGGAAGGTTGGTTAGCCAGTGTGGGGGCATGCACCTGTAGTCCCAGGTGCTTGGTAGACTGAAGCAGAAGGATCCCTTAAGCCCAAGAATGTGAGGTTGCAGTGAACAATGACACCACTGCCCTCTAGCCTGGGCAACAAAGCAAGTCCTTATCTTAAAAAAAAAAAAAAAAGAAGTATCTAAATTCAGTTCATCATACAATAGAAATGCAACTGTAACTAAGGAAATAGCCTCCAAATAAATAAGTAAAAATCTACAGAATAATACACTGAAAAATCCACAGTCATAGATAGAGCACATTTCTCTTAGTAATTGATATATCAACCGAAAAAATAGGAATTCAGAATTATCCTAAGAAGAGCAACTAACATATTTATTCCAGTGGATGTATCCCATGCTTAAAGAAGAAGAGATTTATAAAAATTAAGCAAGTATAGGTTTATAAAGTAAGCCTCAATGAATTTTGAATAATCATTATCATACAATTAGGTTAGATATTAAATAAAAACTAAAGACGTCACATTTGGAAATTGTAAACCACATTTCTAATAACCTACATGAGAAAGAAGACATACTAGAAATTTGTAAAATGTGTATGCTATAGGAAAATAAAATGTAAAACGTACATGATACAGCAGAAATAGTATTACCAGAGAAATTTGGACTTAAATGTTTATAGTACGAAGAAAGAACTGAAATTGATGAGATAATTGGATAACTCAAAAAGTCAGAAAAAGAGCAAAAGGAAATAACATAGTTAATATTACATATTTACAGAATAGGCCATAAGGATACAATAGAAGTAGCAATACCTTATCTTTTATTTTTAAAAATACATATATAGTAATAGAGCAGTGCCTGTGGCTCAAAGGAGTAGGGTGACGGCCCCATATGCTGGAGGTGGTGGGTTCACCCA